ACTGAATTTGCGTAGCATGAAACTCCATCTTCATTTTGCAAAACAGGTATCGGCTCAACAGTACTTTTTCCAACTTGTTGATCTGACTCTTGACCGGCATTGATTATTTTCGACAATGTCCACGGAACATCTTTTACTTTTCGAAAACGTTTTTTCGAAATAGGAATCGTTTGTGCTTGCGGTAGAAATGTTCGTATTAGTCGATTATATTCGGTAATAGCTCTTTCACTTACTTTTACAGCTGAAGGATCAAAGTTAATTAAATGCAATCCATCCGAAGACGGTATTCGGGATAACGCAACATATGACTGAGCACAACTAAATATAGAATTACCTATATCCATAACAGCGTTTTGTAAGGTTAATCCTTGACTTTTATGAATGGTTATGCCATAACTGAGAGTTATGGGAAATTGTTTTCTGATAACATATGCTTTCTCCATTACTTTAAACTTGACACTTACTCTTTCAATACAATACTCCAAACCAGACGGTAAAAGAAGTTTAATCTTTTCTACACAATCGGTAGATATATCCCGCACAACAGAAATAACTGTAGCAATTGTACCATTTACCAGGCCCAAAGTGACATCAATATTGCGTCTTATCATAACTTTCGCTCCAATTTTAATTGTAATTTGTTTCAAAAGCCCAGCTGTATTGGTATCATCGTCTTCATTATCCGTCAATCGCTTTTGTACCTTTCGTTTAATATAATTATCACAGTCAAGCGTATCTTGAGCAATTAATAATATTTCTTTCGAAGCAATACGACTTAGCATTGCAGTGTTAAGAACATCGCACAAATAACGAGTAGGCAGTAAACAAACAGTGTTAGGCGGCAAATTATCAAGATAATTACACAATTCGTATAATCTTTCATCGAAAGACTGACCTTTCAATGATATTCTTCTTTTCTCGAGAATCTCAGAATCAGAAGTTGTCAATAAACCAATACGAACTCTCGAGAGTAATTCACGATAAGCTGTATCTCCTTGCTGACGCATATTGATCGTCAATTCATCATATTGAAATTTTTGCCACAACCATTCCTCAGGAGTAGTCCCCACACTGCCAATATATTTATTAAATTCTGCTTTTGATAGTGGAACAAAGATAAAATTTTCACGTACAGGAGGTAATTGAAGCAGATCTCCAAATAAAAGAACATGCTTTCCACCAAAGAAATCGTCATCCATGGTATCAAATATTTGACATAGTCGTAAATGTATATACATGAAAGTTAAATTAGATATCATTGATATTTCATCAATTATAATAAGACTAACATCTTTAAGATCTGCTCGTAAAACTTTCAAAACGTGATCAGATAATAGTGTATACTTAGGAGACTGATCACCATGTTCAACAGGTAACTGCAATTGCCTGTGATTTGTTAAACCATCGATATTAAACGCCGCTATACCGGTAGGTGCTGTTACAGCAGTATCCTTGTGAAGATTTTGTTTTATCCAGCATTTAATTGTTTTAATTAAAAAACTTTTACCAGTACCACCTTCTCCGCTAACGTATAATAGTAATTGTTTAAATTGTTCGTTATCCGGCGATATCTTTACGGCGTTGATGACTCTGTCAAATATTCTTCTTTGATCTGCGTTCAGATTCGAAATCATTTCAGATACATTGATTTCCTGATTTAATTTGTCACCAAGATCCTTAAAATTTTGCATCGCTTCACCAGCCTCAATATTTTGAACACCTATTGGATTATCGGGATCATCTTGAGACTCATGTTGTTTTTCCAAATTATCTAAATAATGTTCAACTAATTGCTTCGCAGTTTCAAATGCTTTTTGCACTTCCTCTAATTTTTCATGATATTGCAATGCTTCCGTAAGATATAACTTTTCCTTGTGAAATGCTTCTGTATATGTATCACATCCGTCTTTAAGATCTTCTATTTTCCGCCACGGTTTAAACATGAGCAGTAATGAAAAGAAATAATTTTCCGGCTGCGTATTGACATTATATTTATAGTGATTAATAAGACATCCACGCTGTCGCCGTTTTAGATAATAACCATTCTCCATCGTGTAGTATTCAATATTTTTACCTCGTGGTTTATTTTTCAAAATATCATACCACTGTACAAACTCATATAAAAACATAGATTCCAATTCTTTCGGTCTCCGTGGATAATGTTCATCTATTACAGATGGACAAAATATATTTGTAGAATCTCCGTCAAGAGCTTCAATTTCCTTATAAGTTTTAACTTTTCTACGTCGTATCTGATTAACATCTAACCATTTTATAGTCGTTTTTGAATCAGTCCCCCATAAAGGAATACCACACATTCCATCACAGGCTTCAAGAGATCCACATTCCCTATTACTCGTGGCTCGCAAAGTAAAATTCCAAAGTTCTTGACGCAATGATTTCTTTGTCTTATTTTTACTATCAAGGACAGCATCAGATATTTCACATTTTCCTGGTTTATTTACGTACTTAGTAATATACCAAGTAAGCAACGTGGATGTTTCACTTACGTATTGTATATCGACATTTCCTTCTAATACCGTAAGAAGAACAGGATGATAATCATTTATATTGATCTCATCATGTTTTCGAGGAACATGATAAAGCCTACTTCTATGTTTCAATCGTTTCCTACCTGCTATCGAACTTATGACATCTTTCAAAATCAACGTTTCCGTGACAGGACGAGGAAACCCGAAACGACACACACGAATCGTTTTGCGTCCTACTTTTTTAGAACGAAGACAATAATCGTTATGTTTGTGTCGTTGATGCGTATTGACTCGCCTATATAACAATGGTGAAATATTTGGATCTGGCATTTCACAAGTTATGTGTTGCAAAATAAATTGAGAAACTTCTTCAGCAGAAGATTTCCCGATAATTGGCGCACCTTCAATCCAAATTAATAAATGGAAATGTTGTATACCTCTACCTTGGTATTCTCGTCGCCAGAAATAATGCGCCACTTTTCCGATCGGATTATCTTTGGAACAAATAAAATCAAGGAACGCTTTGAATTTGTTATCAAGAAACCTTGACGTTGACACGGGATCCTTAGCAACGAGTACACTAATGGGCGTCGAATCGTCAGGCCATCCATTTACTTCACGAAGATATGCAGCTAAGTCAGGCATCAGCCATTCAGCAGGACTCCATGTTACGAACCATGTCGCAGGTCCGTATTCTTGCGTCATACATCTTAAATTACTCCTCGGTATACGCCAGTATTGTTCCGTATTTCTTATAGTGGCGAATATTGTATTCAAGTCAGATTCTAATACATCTGACTGTAGTGCTTCTAAATATTCTGAAGCCGTATAACGCTTAGTTGTACATAGTTTGCTATAAATACCACGATTTATTTGACGAAAAGTGTACAGATTATACAGAAAAAATACGAATTGTATATTTAATCTGAATTGTGGATGTTTGGACATCAAACAACATTTATCAAATTCATGGTCGTGAAGTTTAACCCGTCTAGCTTGGTGTCGTCCATCAATACCAAAAGGAAATAAATCTGGAAAACACAATAGATCTAAAGATCTCTCACGATTGTCCAAGGGCAAATCGGCTATTTTTAACATTTGATATAAGGCGGTATCAGTTTTACATAATTTTTTTTCATATAAAGGATAAATAGTATATTGCTCGTAATCGTAATAATCATTACTTTCGTCAAGAACCTGAGTTAACATTGCCTTACGCTCATTATTTAAAGTAGCGTCTACGTTGTTTTCTTGCGTTGGACTTTTTGGGCTCGATTCGCGTTCGTCATCCAAATTAGATTCAGTAGCATTTTCTGTCTCCTGTGCTTCAAAATCTGGATCGATTAATAATGACGTTTGTAAAGAAAACTCCTTACAAGTATTTGGCAATACAATATGAGAATATAAAGGATTGTGTTCTTTTAACCACACTAAGGCGTCAAAAACCTTGTTAACGTCTACCATGTCTTCCCAAATCATTTTTGATTTTGTCGGAATACCTCTAACACGTACAAAGTACAGTTCGTGATTGATATTAATCGGATCAGTATCAGGACATATTTTGTTCAATGTTTCTTGTAAAGGTAACGGTAAATGAAACGTTCTACCTTTTACTTTTTGTACCATCTGTCTGTGAGGCAATTTCTTGTTACTAACAGGTTTCATTGTAACGACAGTTTGAAAAGCTTTAGCTCTTTGTATGAGAATTTTTTCAAACTGGTTAAGACATGATATTACTTCAGGTGGATCGTGTACAATACGATCATTTAAAACGCAATACGCAGGCATTAATCCGTCACGGAATTTTTTTTCACAGTAATTACATATGTATTGCGGAGTAATATTATGTTTTTCTAAATGCGCCATTAAATCTCTCTAAATTGGAATATCTATTCGTGCTTTAAGCTTATTAAATTCAGAGACACTTCTTCTATATAAAAGTCTCTCACATGATGCACAAACATATCGAGGTGTGTCCATGGAGCGTTTAGTAAAAGCCTTAAATGCGTTTTTAAAGCAAGACATGATTTCATCTTCACTCAAAGTAGTACGATTCTGCTGATGTTTGTACATATATGCTTTTTGTTGTGCCGAAATTATAATTTCGTTTAACGTGTCTAAATCAACAGAAGTTAAAGCCTTCTCCAGATTTAACATTTTGTCGTATAAACTTGTCATTTGATAAATTAAACGTTTAATATATCTCACCATTGGAAAATGAGGTGATAATAATAAAACAGGAAGAAATAGAGCTTTGCAAAGAGTTGCATCAATGTAACAGGCATGTGTGTGACCCTTTCTATCAGAATTCTTTATCGTACATGTATGAATATCTGTTAACAATTGTGGTATTTTCTTTAAAGTGCAGGCAAATATCGTTTTGAGAAATTTTTTATAACGATCGATTAAAATCTTCATCAACGGATTATCATAAATTTTACACAAAGCATTGCATAACCATGATTTTTTGACTCGTGCTTGTTGCAAAGGTAATATATTCGTAGTTTTACCTTTCTCGTTAATTACCAACAGTTGTGATGAAGAAATGTTATGATATGTGTCGATAAAATAATTTTCGGATGAAGCTGTATGTCCCGATGTGCCACATAATGCACGTATTTTATCGTTATTTATAGAGCATTCAGCGGCAAGAGTCAAACACACGTCTGATTTCTTTTTAAGTGAAGCTAATATTTTAGAGATCTTGCTGACAAAACTGTCTCGAATACGCATACACCAACGTAAGATTCTTTCGGCTTCTAATCGTCTTTCAGTAGGATTTTTAATATTAAGTTTGTTTTCGATGTCTTCAATTGCCACAGGAATAAGAAATTGTATGTAATTTCGTGACCAAAACTTTGCATATTTTCTAGTAATATTTTTGGCAATATCGTGATTTTTGTTTGCAGGTACGTATTTAGAATTTTTTCTCTCATAATATCGCTTATTATAAAGCCACTTACAATCCAAATATTTTCTTTGTCTATCTCGTTCTTGCTAAGAATGTAGAAGATAATATTTTCTTTGTCTATCTCGTTTTTGCTGAG